TGATGTTTGCATTCAATCGCCGATAGTCGCCAGTTGGACGCCAATCGTTGCTGTCCTTTTTAGGGACCATGTGCAACGGAGATGCGTCTGGGCTATTTGATGGTCGTATGATCCCTAAGTCGATCATATGGTCGAATTCGTTTTTCGCCAACCTTAGCTTTTCAGGAGCTAGTCGGCGTGCTTTAGAGAATACAGGTGGTCCTGTAGTCGTGACGTGGTGTGTAACGTTGCTGGTTACACGCAGCAATTTCGGTTGCGTTCAGTGTGTCCCAGGTTACTCATCGGGTAGTGGTTGATAGAATGGATCTATCGTGTGCTTAATTGTGACTGGAGATAATCTGCAGCCAGAAAAAGAAGTTACGCAAACAGATAAATTAGTGTTTCCATCTACTAGCCTCCGTTTGCGCGTATCGATGAGTAGATTGTGCTGTTGTAGGAGGTCTATACCAATGATTGGCGTAAAAACATCTGCAACAACGAAGATCCAGTGTATGAGTTTGCGTAACCCCAAGTTAAGATAAACGTACATTTTACCGTATGTGGCGATAGGCTTTCAGTTTGCTGCCTGTAGATTTTAAACCGATTCGTGAAGCCGGTCGTTAGAATTCACTGGGAGAACGACAACTTCCGCGCCAGTATCGACGCGGTAGTAAACTCTCATTGTCACATCAGTGACGTACAACAGACGGCTATGTTCGCCGGCTACGGTTGCCGTTAACGCGTGCGGACTTGGAAGTTTCCCGAGTTGTTTTTGGTGTCGATGGGAGTTGAGTTGGGAAAATTGCAGGGTTTTCTGCTATTCTTGGAAGACTTTCCATACTGGTTCTGATACTAGCACCAGTCGAGGTTATCAGTTTCTAGTGGTTTAGAGATAGATCGCTTACGTGAAGTGCTTCTTCGTCGAGTGTGTGACCGTTTACGTTCGTTACGAAACTTAAGATAAAGTGTAAGTATATGACATGACTCTGTAATTTCATCCTGGGTCGTTTGACGTCTTACTTTGACTGAAAAAACCTCGGCATTAGAAAATTTAGTGATTTCTAAAATGCGGTCGGCAGATACAGCCAGCACCGAATGTTCTTTGGCCGATAACCTCTTTCATCCTTTGCAACATGTCCGTCGTAGAACCGTGTTGCAGGTCGATGTTATTGAGGAGTTGGTTTAACCTTTGTCTATCGGTTAGGTCTCCGCGTGTAGGAATAGAACGTTCCAGTGTTTCGTAAGGTTCAGAAGTATCACTAGTAAACATGCTAGGTGTTACGTATCTGTTGAATTCGCGCGGTATTGCCTTGACTACTGTGAGGAATTGTGCACGTGTGTCGATCACAACGTGCTCCAAGAAGTCGGGGTCGATGTTGTCTGGCCAGAAGGGCAGCAGTTCGACGAAGGTGGAGACCTAGTCTTTAACTTAAGTACCTTGAGTGTCTGTTCAGTCATGGTGAAATACGAAGTACGTGAATGAACGATGGAAAAAAATATATATCCAAAAAACACGAAAAAATATCACAATATATAAAAAATTAAAATGAGGCAATTATATATAGAATCCTAAAAAAGAAAAGACTCACAGTTTTCAGTTTAGTATACCAGATCACGTCGGCTCACCACTGAAGATGCGAAAGGTATTCAGGGTTTGACAACGCTTTAATCAGTAAAACCTTACATGAATCGTACCCACCAAGTGAAATCAAAAGACAGAAGCGAGGAGGTTCCAAGATATATTTGATAGGCTATCAATATGCCGAGGATCGTCTGATCTAATCTGGCTAGCGATTTCAGGGGATGTTGGAAACGGCGTTCCACTCGTGATCTGGCGCAGATGCATGACCGAGAGCCTTGAGCTAGGTGAGCAAATTGAAACTAATGTGGTCAGCATCCAATGTCGAAAACTTCAGAGCTATTTATTTAGGGGATTTAATTCCCGCTGCAATAGACAAGCAATTGAAGAATGCTTTCAGTTTAAATCTTGACATTCCTGAACATTTTGGACCTTCAGATGACATTTGTTTAGCAGACGTCGAGTGAAACTTTTTGTTAGGTATGATCAGTTGGTTGAAAAAGTATGGTTATATGAATGCATTCAATAAGTTCAAAGGCAAACTGGGAGAAATGATTTGCTAAACTCGGTGTTTCCACTTGCTTTTGATCCACTCCTAACCCATAAAAGCTCAGGTTTTTTTATAAACGATCAAATTGTTGCAATGTGTATATTCAATTCATTGACAGTATTAACGAATAGTTCAAGCAAAACCGTTGAAAAACTCGCTATTGTCTTCGAGAAAGGCCTTTCGAGGATTCAGCAGTTACATTTATTGATTGTCACCTCTCAATGTTGCAACGGTCACGGAAACGTTGTCAGAGTCTACCCACCGTAAATTAGAAATCATTAAGGGAATTATTTGTCGTCCAGTATTTAATAGGATGTATAATCAGAAGGCGTGTTGATCTGAAAGTTTGGGAAAAAAAAGATTTTCTATAACAAGCATATATATTAATATCTTGCATTTATTAAGTAAAGAAATGGACGACATTTAGGAATAATACAGGTGCAGAACTAAGACTGCTAGGTAATTGATCTGCAGGGCCGGTGAAATGTCACTGAGCCTTAGCAAAATCACCGGGCAGTCGGGCCACTGAATATCGAACAGATAATCGGTCCTCGTCAAGACCAAGGACAACCAACGCGCATCAGTAAATTGTATGCCATAGACTGGTCAATGTGGTGGTGGTCTCACTATCTTCTCTGTACTTTTGCTAAGTACTATTTTTACATACTAGCATCCTTTGTGTTATACGTTGGTCAAGGCAGATAGTGTTTTAATACGTCGAAGGGTCGATCCACGTTCAATGCTGACTGCTAGGTGTGAATTCGAAGTTATCTGGTTTGTCACACCAGTCCTGCCTAACTCGAATAAGCCTCCAGTCATTCGACAAAAATCATCTACGTCGATGATCTATAGACCAAAGTAGATGACAGATGAATGTTTCTAAAAATCTACCTCTGTGTAATGGTTTACAAACGAGACATGTCATTGTAACGCAAAGTGAGAGTCCGAATATTTGGAAACACAAATGTTCACACGCTAGATATTCAATAATAAAACAGCTACAAGATGTACGATATCTGCACAATGAACATTGTTTTCTGAAGCTAGTAGGTAAGAGTCTTCAAATCCACATTTTCTTCATAGCGGCATTGTTCAAAATATTCACCGTGCTTGCTTCATTTTTGCTTTTTGTTTTTAGCCTAGTTTAGTGATTTGATTAATACAGACAAGCTGTATGGAGTGTGCTTCGACTCAGTTGAAAATGAATAAGCTTAATTTTCTTATCCCGGCACAAATAAGTTGACGTTTGATGCCTAAATATTTCAAGTCTTTGCAGACAACGTTGTAGACCATTACCGTAGATAAGCAGCGTCGAATGATTTGGGGCCTACTCGAGTAAGACGGATAGGTGCGACGGACAAGTCGAATTCGAAGTCACACGGTACGGTTAGCAGCTGACGTGGGTTATCCTTTCTTCTTATCAAGGCAGCTAATTGATGACTATATGACACAAGGGACTTCGCTACAGATATATTATCAAGATTAGATAAAAGGAAGAGAGTGTGACCACGTGGCCTTGTCTATAATGTACAATTAATTGATGCGCGTTGGTTGTCTTTGAACTTGACGAGGATTGATGACACAACCGACAGATAACTTGGATAGGGCACAGTGACATTTCACTGTCACTATAATGTCAACCGGGCTTTATTTCGCATTTGATGGAAACAAAGAATTACGTGTTACATTCATAGATATACTAATAACGAAATTACACCTGGATTTGGTGAATCTTTGAGGAACAGATTTGAACTCACAGTGAGATCTAAATATTGTTGTTGAAAAAATCACAGTTACCACACTTGAGTGGCACGGTCATAAAATCCCAGTCATTTTCTTGCTTCAATACATTGATTTAACAATCGCATCAAAGGAGCTTGGACTCACGAAAGAAAGGAAAGTGGGATGACTGGCCGATCGCCTTAATATATGCATTATTGTAAGTTAAAACATTTGGTATGTATTAATGTCAATATGATTGCCAAAAAATCACTGACTTTTAGGCTTCTCTCTCATGCTTATTACTTTTAGTGTCACTTGAGTGTTGGTTTCACTACCCTATCAAGATTGTCCAATATATTCCCAAAGCAGGCTTCTACGCCATGAACAGTGTCGGGATTTGACAAACGAAGAGTTATAGACAAATTACAATAAGTAATAGGAATGATAAAGTTAGCAACGTTTCTAAACACATCTTGGCCTTTTATAAATATTACTCTGGTTGCACTCCACCTATAAAAATATTCTTTGAGGTTGGATCATACGGAAAATTTGTCTTGACAGTTTGAGAGATAAGATAAAACCGAGAGATAATTTACTGAGGATGGGAGTCTGATGAAGGTAATGAACTGAGTTCATGGTAATGAAATTTTTCCAAAACTAAATGTATAATATCAACTTACAGCGCAAATACTAGAAGTGTATATGTTGTGTAAAATATGTTACAGTAGCGTTTCTCTCAGTCCCACGCTTTATTTGGTCTGTCAAATGCTTTGATATTTGCTTTATTTAGAGCAGCATTTACTTTTCTACGATGTGAAAAAGTCGAAAATAAGGGTGTACAAGTACTGTGTTAAATGCTTCTAGAAATAAATTAAAACAGTTAATAATTTTACTTGAGTTCTATTTATCTTGCTGATTCACCAAGACAGTATTTTAAAATTTCATACTACTTGTATTTCACTAGATGTTTGCATACACTTGTATATGAAAATATTGCATTTTCAAAATTTTTAGACATGTTCATAAGTTTGGGTCAAAACGATACACTAATTATTTGAAGCTAATTCTATTGTCGGAAAAACCCATATTTTCAAACGGTTAGGCGTTGTTCATCAATAATCAACGTCTTTTGCAGAGAGGCATTTTTAATGCACTCTTTGTTATGATGTACTGCATTTCTCTGTAGGTCAAAAATAAAACACAGCGCGCTACACAGTTTTTCTTGTTTGTGATGTTCGACTTGTGTGCCAGGTATCGGGTTGGTTAGCATAAATTGTCTTAGTATTCATGATGGACCAAGCTTATATTTTTATTCTTTCTAGGGATCTTCACCATACTATCGAGTATTACATATTGTATGAACAAGGTGATCATGGTGAGTCACATATTTAATATAGGACAGTGAGTTCATGCTGAAATTTGTCCTTTGCGCACCAAAATGTGCGAATTAAAAATTTTCTCGGTTGCTCATTTATTTACATATTGGATAGTTTCCGCGCTATTATTTCTTTACATACTTAGTACAGCCTTACATATCATTGTTTATTTCCTGATTTTAGTCTTATTTAGGTAATGAAAATTAAAAAATCTAGTAAATGTAGCATCAATGCATTATTTATGATTCTCCATGTCCTATACATTGACATTTCGATATATTTACCTGGTGCTCATTCAAGTGAGCTGTTTTTTGATGCTTTTGGCGGTGCGTATTTGGTCTAGAAGTTAGTTAAACTAGGTCTACCTATTCTTGTAATTTTTCGATAGTTCGCATTTTTTTGAACTTCACACAATATTTGGTGACAGAAGTTTAAAACTATAATGACTTATCTTATGAGTAGGTCCTTAGTAATATCAAATCCTGTACATCTCTATGTATAATTGTTTTTACTCAACCCACTTCAATTTAATGATTTCATTTGTAAAGATTACTGAAAAACATTTGTAAGTTCTAGGGCAGCTTTTGCATTACTGATCAAAGTAACGAAGTGAATGATTCTTCTCAAATACTGGGGAGTTTTGACATTCTAAAATAACGTAAATTTAATCCTATACTTTTTTGTTTTTGTAATCGTAGTTTATTTCAACATATCATTGTCATTTGCGTCGTTATATTCACGTTTTCAATTCTCTATTATTTGGTCTCTATCCACGCTCCCAATGAGGCGTTAAAAATCCAAAATGCTGCTCGACAGTTTGTTTATTATCACTCATTTAACAACGTGTCTGTGCATAATTTATACTAATAGTTGATGCTTGTCTTATCAGTTTTCTTTCGATTCTGCAAGATGGTCATAGTTCTGCTGTTAAACAAAAATAAACTATCCATTTTGTTCAGTTAAAAAATTATAAGATCTACTTCTCAAATTATCTGCTTTTTGCAAAAGCATTTTCAAATTTCAGCAAAATATTGTTATTAATTATAATGTTGAATGTAAAAAACCTACAAATTCGACTGACAAAACCCCTGCGAATAATGTTTATTTTGATGCTTACTTAAAATAATTGCAAGCCAGTTTGAGTTTTAGAATTCTTTAATTTATAAGATTTTAAACGATGGACTTTTCATATGATTGAATTTAAGCATTCATTACAACGGTTGGTCTGAATAAATTTCATCAGGATATTACAAAGTAATTCTCACATTTCTGTTTTTTGGTACTTTATTAGTTTCATTTATTGAACATTTTTAATACATGTTGTAGGCCCAGCTGTCAAAAGATGTTATCCCAGTGATCTTTCTGATGTATTCACTGAACGTATCATCGAATTTGCATTTTGTTGTGATGAGTAACGTTCTCTAAATTTGCTTTATCTCCATAATTTTATCATAAAGTAGACGTTTATCAGTAGAGGAGTTTGTGATTGTATTCACAGATGCCAAGGGCATATTGGAATTCGTTTATTGTTACCAACCAAACGAAAGATTTCTGCTTTGCATTTCAAGGTAGGTGTTTTGACTTTATTTCTTCAACAATCATAGTTCTCATCACCGTTATAACTGGATATGATATTGTGGATCGAATTACATATTATTTATGCTAATTACTTCAGTTACATCTTTATCATATTGTACACATAAGCTGCACGAATGTTTGATAAAGGTATATCAAATTGAAGTGACATGAAATCAAAATTATTGGTAGGCTATCATAAGGACCTGTATCCACTCAATGGTTCTAACATATGCGAGCATCTCTTTAATGTTACGAATGAGTTACACCCAACGTTTCTGTTCTGCTGTTATTATTTTCTCGTCTTAGTTCTTTCTAAAACGAAGTCTCATTATGATTATATGAAGTGTATCTACCTTGAATGGATGCATATTTACACCTATTTCTTGCTTCCTTTCATTAGTATAATTTTCATCGTCTACCTCAGTAGCTAACGATTAAGTTCAGTAAAAGTGTTTGTCAAACTACTTAGATGAGTTATTCCTTCTAGTAGACATGTAATGGGTATGCTTTAAATTCGAAACAGTATCTTTAGGTAATTTTAGATTTTTATCTTTCTATGATGCTTCAAAATTTAAAGGTTACTCATGAACTACTCACTCACAGAGTTTGTTCTGCTGATTTCGTTATTTATAAACAATCTAAAAATATCTGTCGGTTTTTATTGTTACCACTCATCAACAAAATGCACTTATAATTTCAGATATACTTACGTTTGTCATACTAGAGTCTTTGCTGTCTACTTTTTGTTTGCATATATTACTGCAGAGAGACACCAAACATTTTAATGCTGCTCAGTAATTCGAATGTATCTCACTAACTAATAACAAGTTTAAACACTTTTCCCAAGTCTGAAGTACAACTTGATTTGTTTCATAAGAGTAGGTGAATTAGTGCTGAAAATGACAGATCTTGAAAAAAATTGAATTCTTAGTTAACCATTCTACAAGTCGCACTCATCTGTGAACGAAAATCAACTATATCGTTATTAGGTTGCGGTTTACATTTTGTCTATTATTTCAATGTATATTTAGGTGTAAAAAATATTATTGTTGTTGGTTCAATAATTACTACTTTACTGGCGTAAACAGGATGTTGATTAGTTGTTTTTTAATAAACTACATTTTGTTTGATTTAGCAAATTTCCTTGGTGTGAGTGCTTTCACTCTCTGCTAAGCATTTTATGGCATCATGGTCTTTATCGTGATGTTCACTGGTCCATTATGGAGCCATTCTTCTCTCATCTAAGTTCTGCTATTCCACCTCGTTTACCGATCGATCGTATTCAATGTGCGAATCCATTCAACCCGTCTATGGTATGCTTAAGTAAATTTGATTTTCAACTTGAACTTGCATTTTTGAACCTTATCTGAAAGGATGGCGTAACTTGCTATAGATACAGCTTTGCTTAAATTTGAATACCTGGATGGTATAATTGATTTTGCAACATTTAATGAAAAATCCCATTTGGATACACTCACTCATTCGACAAACAAGAGTACAGCAGGAGTACAACATGTTCTAGTTATGTTTAACTCTAAATAAAGTTTCTATTGACCAGAGCACGAGATTATATTATCTACTTAAAGTACTATTTGCCATGTGAATCTCAAGTAAATTGGGATATAAATTAGCGATTGATATTACTTCCATGAGTAAAGAACACTGTTGTTTTATTTTCGAACAATCTCATAACTACTAATAAAAAGTCACTGTAATCGATTTAAATCGTCTAAATACTATGAATTTGCTATCAGCACCAACTAAAATGTTTATTTACTTCTTGGAATAAAAACTTATCTGAGTTTTTGTTGTTTTAAATTTGTTCCCATCGTAGTTATCATTGTCACTAATGTGTGATTGATGTGCTCAATGTAAACATTAAAACTGAGAAGTAGGTATATCCAGCAGCCGAGCCCCAAATCGACGAAGCGCTTGTCGTTGATTAAATTAACAATCGCTATACAACCTTATTTGGAACTTGTTAGTAATCATTTTACTTATAACAACATTCAAAACGTTTTTGGATAGTAGTTCTATTAAAAAGAGCTCTTTTTATCCTATTTTCTGAGTTTGTACTTTTTTCTTAACTTCTCAACCCCTTCACAGTCAAAATTAAGCTTTAGAAAAGTAGAAACTCTAAATTAAAATGAAATGAATACTCAATACGAACGCAACGTATTATGTAAACTGTTATGTCTAAAGAATTAACAAACTGATAATGAAATTATATTTTAGGGTTTTGTGCTCCGAATTCCAACACCACAATCCCCACACTATTTGGTAAGTTGTGGTATGTTCACATACATTATAATTTTTAAATAGAACTACGTTATAGAATATTACAATGCATTGGATCTTTCACTGTGGATACATATATTTGTAAGGTGAGAATTCATTTTATTATCCCAAATTTCTTTTAAACCTTTGTGGGGATAAATGATGATAGAGTAGCAGTCACTTGAGATTACTTCAAATTATTTAATTTCTGTCATTGTTTATCACATAACAAAAGTGTTAGAAATGTAGTTTCATGTTAAATGAAAAGCAATTTTGTAATGTATCAATACTTAGTTTGCTATTTCGTTGTAACTGAGTTGAAATGATATCGTTCAACTGTTATAGATCTGGAAGCTTTAATGAAAAAATGAAAATGATTGGGGTCCTAGCATTGTGTTGACTCAATTTATAATGTAAACATAAAGCATGATTCACAGATAAAGGATTATGAGATTATTTTTTGAGTCTTTTGAAAATGAATTCATTTAAGTTCTAATTGGATCATTAGACGTTTAAAGCTCCAAGCATCAACCGGATCTTAAATAGACCCTTATTTGCTGGTATTAAGTGTATTCGAAACAGTCCTAATATGATATTCGTAAATTAGCTTCTTTTCTTCCAGCAATTGTGGGTTTTGTACTGATATTTTTTAGGACTGGTTATGAAAATGAAAACATAAGTATGACCCATTGATAGACAGTAAAATACTCTGTATTGCTCATCCAGTGTTACAATCAAAGATTTTTAATGAAGAATTGTCATAAGGCATTGTCTTAATCATATTTTTGCTTGTTCTTTGGATTCTTTTGTTTTTGTTCTTCATAGCTTACTTTTGGAGCGAAGTTTACTATTCTGTTCAAGACGGTTGACAAAGTTGACAGCGTGTGTCTTAACTTCAGTTTCATTGTTGTATCCGATTCAATGGTAAGCCAATATTACTCATCTATTGTTCCTTTATTCTTTTGGCATAAATTTTGACTTGTTTATTTCCACAATGATACGATGTTTTTCATCGCGAAACGTCATTTCACTTTATCTTCAGACTCCTTAGTAGTGCTCACACACGACCTCACATGAGATCAAGTTCAATTAATTTGTGATAAACATTATAAGCATAGATGATTAAGCTCCGACTCAATGGTTTATAAGTGATGCGCATGCTTCAAAACTTGAATATCTTTCTTCCCATCTCATATATCCATCAAGATTGTGTAACGTTTGCAATTCAGAAACTAGAAAAAAAAACAGCTATTGGGTCGTTAACACACACATGTAAGGGAGATTGTAATGCTACTTGACTTTCCAAGCTGAAGTATGCGGAGCTGAGTTTGAACCGATAACCTATTGGTTGATAATTGATTATCATGAAGATTAGGCTACCACCCATTTTTTCTTAAAAATATTTGATTACTGTTTATCTAGTGTTCTGGAATATGTTATTCTTTTACAAATATTTATCAGCCCTTACAAAGAAAATTATCCCATCCGACCATTTTTGTTATATTCAGTCTGCCTACATTCACATAGTTTTATTTGATGAAAAGATAGTGTTCATGTAAAGCTCACCATTTCTTCTAGTTATGTTGATCATGTAACCACCTCTCAACAATTGAAAATTCACCTTAACTGTTACGTCATATATACTTACATCAACTAAATAAGACTTTATATCTTAGCAAAATGTCTATAACTTATTATTGTGTTTTTCGAAAACAAATGAAATAATACATAAATATATTCTTCAGAAATTTCACTGATCTATATTAAAAAAATAATCGATTATTGTGTGACTGTTTGTCAAGCTTTCTTTCTCAATTTTCCATCACTTTTGTTTTCCAAACAACTCTATGATTGACAGTAACTTTTTCGTTAGTTGCATTTTTAATCACTAAAAAGAATTTCATGTTTGGTGCATAATCAATAAAACATAACTGACTCCCTCTAGTTGGATAAGTTTATTCTGACTAGCTGACATTTACCAGTGTAATATTCGTTTATTTTTGTTGACGATAAATATTAGATTGTTTTAGACATTTTCATCGCGGTATATCATTTGTGAATTGGATTTGTATCACAGAATGATGTTTGATATATAATAATTGAAAACGAGCGAGGAGCATTGAACAGTTGTTTGGTTGTAGTTTATGTATTTTCAGTAATTCACACACACTAGCCAACTGGACTATATTCATTTCAGTCGGCATTTTAATGCCCAAATGCCCTGGTATGGCCGAGAATGTGGTGGGCCAGCCCTCCCTCTCGAAATGCTCTCACACGGCCACGCGTATACAGCCTCTGCCAGGGAAGTCCTACTGATTGCTTTCTCGTGGCGTCGGTGTTGTCTATGAAATTGAGAGGATGAAAATCGAATGTTCGACGCTGTAACCGGATCCCAAACCAATGGTGCACATGGGCTCCAGTATCATGAAGAAACGAACGGCGTATGAACCATTCGTTAGTGACCGGCTACCATGGGACTGCATCTCCTCACGATGCTCCACTGCCTTGTGGGTCAAACCTTAAGGTCAAAGGCTCGGGGTGTGGTCCCCTAAGAAAACCACCTGCTTCGGTTTGAGCACCCGGGCAGTATCACAGCCCTCACACAAATCGAATGATTTATGTGGCGCATACCTATTTGGTGCCTTCTTGTACCAATATCTATGTGTTAAAATAAATAAAAATAAATAAATAGAAGTTGCTAACTTTATCACCAAATTATAGATTAGTTGTTTAGCTAAATCACAAAGTTCAAAGCTAATTGATAAGCTGATCATACGATTTTCTATTGTACTTTTATTAAATGTTTACACTATCTGACAGTAATTTTGATGAATAGTTAAGATCAGCCAATATAGCAGCTGCTGGTTAACGTTAGGCGTCCTAAGTTAGGCTCAACCAGTTCATTTTTTCTTGGTTCCCATTATTTAATCAAATAATTATTATCGTTATTTTCAAATCTTTCAAATTTCGAAAAGTTTCTTCAAATAACAATAACTAAGTAAACCAAATAACCGTCAGTTTCACATTTTGATAGTTAAACTGATCTCTACTGAGTATCTACTGAGAATATGACATTTTCAGTTAAAATTATTTTTCACGAATATGAACATTACAATGTCGAGATCACCCATTCAACAGAATGTTGTCAGTGATTTCACGAATATTCTCAACATAAAATGACTGAAATACATATTTTTCATTCGATTTTGTATCAAAAAATAGGATAACGTTTTAATCGTAGTTATTTACTATCATGGAAACTAGAGTTTTTATGTATTGGTTTCTGCAAATGAAGACCAGCACCTAGAATTTAGAATTTAATCCAGTCAGATCTGTTCTGATCACGAGTCAATTGAAGCTAGACCACTATGGAAAACCATGAAGCACTGGACGGCCGTTTCGTCCTATTGTGGGACTCCTCAGCAGTGTGCACCCACGGCTCCGCATCACGAGATTCGAACCCAGGACCTATCTGTATCGGGCGCGAGTGCCTAACCTCTAGATCAATGAGCCGGTACTTTGAGGAACCCTTGAACAGACCAGCTTCATTGAATCCCCCGGATGTTAAAGCAGCACACACAGACCTTCCCACAGATATCATTCTACCAACGACGAAAGAAATTAGGATGACCATCAGACATATCGAGTGCGGGAAAGCAGCAGGACCTGACAATATAACAGCTGAAGCACTGAAGACAGACATCGAAGTAACTACAAACATACTTCACCTTCTATTCAAGAAGGTTTGGGAGGAGGAACGAGCGCCGATGGACTGTAAAAAAGGACACCTCATCAACATATCAAAGAAGAAAGATCTGAGCAAATATGAGGACTACAGAGGCACCACACCACTATCAGTACAAGGAAACGTATTCAACAGTGTTGCTGAACCGGATGTATAACTCAGTAGACACCCAACTCCGAGATCAAGAGACCGGATTCTGTAAGGATCGGTACTGCACAGAGCAAATTGCGACACTACGGATCATACTTGAACAATCAATCGAATGGAACTTGTCGCTATACATCAACTTCATTGACTATGAGAAGGCGTTTGACAGTGTGAACAAGAGAACATTATGGAAACTTCTTCGACACTATGGAGTACCTGAGAAATTCGTCCACATCATACGGAATTCATACGACTGACTACACTGCAAAGTAGTGCATGGAGGACAGCTGACAGGTGCATTCGAAGTGATGACCAGAGTCAGACAAGGCTGTCTACTCTCCCCCTTCTTCTTTCTCTGGTGGTTGACTGGATTATGAAGACCTCATCTCAGGAATAGCACGGAATACGATGGACAGTTCACAACCAATTAGAAGATTTGAACTTCACAGATGACCTAGCCTTCCCATCTCATACACACGAGCGAATGCAGATGAAGACAACTAGTGTAGCAGCAGTCTCTGCATCAGTAGGCCTTAACACACACAAACGAAAAAGCAAGATTCTCGAATAGAACACGGAGAACACCAACCCAATCACTCTTGATGGCGAAACTCTGGAAGGTATGGGATGTTTCACGTACCTGGGCAGCATCATCGATGAACAAGGAGGACCAGGTACAGACGTGAAGGCGAGGATTGGCAAAGCAAAGGCAACATCCCAACAACTGAAGGACATATGGAACTCAAAACAACTGCCAACCAATATCAAAGTCAGAATCTTCAATACGAACGTCAAGATAGTTCTACCATACGGAGCTGCAACGTGGAGAACTACTACAACCATCATCAAGAAGGTACAAGTATTTATAAATAGCTGCCTACGCAAGATCCTCAACATCCATTGGCCGGATACCATCAGCAACAACCTACTGTGGGAGAGAACAAACTAGCTTCCAGCTGAGAAGGGAATTAAGAAAAGACGTTGGAAGCGGATAGAACATACATTGAAGAAGTAACCAAACTGCATCACGAGACAATCCCTAACTTGGAATCCTGAATGGAAGCGGAAAAGAGGAATGCCGAAGAACACATTACGTCAGGAAATAGAAGGAGATATGGAAAGGATGAATAACAACTGGTAAGAGCTGGAAAGGATTTCCCAGGACAGGGTTGGATGGCGAGTGCTGGTGGACGGCCTATGCTCCTCCACGAGGAGTGACAGGCGTTAGTAAATAAGTAAATCGTTTTAGATGTGCATTGTTTGAATCAATATTACCTTCATGCTTTTGCAAGTTCTATTCATTTCCAATAATGATTATTAGTAATAATCAGGCGGCCATTTTTTTCTGAATATACCAGCATTGATTTATTGATTTTCACAGTGGGACTCCAACCTTACCACTGATCACTTCAGACATTAGAGGGTTATTTTTAAATCATGATAATCACTAATATGTTAAATTGCTATGAAATTTTTTAAAACATCTTAAATGGTTCACATTTTCATTTTTTTTGGTACTCAAATTGAATCGGTCAAAACAGTACACACTTTCTCATTTCTACTAGTAGGGTGCTATTCAACATCTAATTAGTTATCTTGGCCAGTATCAAATTCAATAATCTATAAGACATCTAATATTTTGTTATTCTTGTATGTACATCTAACTTATCTATGATTTTAAAATTGTTGTCAGTTTGTAATTATTTTCCAACTATGATTCATCGTCTTCTTCCTATTAAATTAAACTCTTTCATTCTCTATACTACTTATGTATGGGACGAATTAGTTCTAGTGAGGAGTCGTGACCAGTGGAGTTTAACCGTGTCTGTTGTGAAGCAATGACTCACTGAAGACAATGGTGGACGGTGGCACAATTTCATGGATTGGTTGAAGTTAGATATTAACACCGTTGGATGCCGGCTCATTGGTCTAGATGTTAAGTGTTTGCATGCGAGACCGAAAGTCCTAGGTTTGAATCCCGCGATCAGGATCGTGAATGCGCACTGCTGAGGAGTCCCATACTAGGATGAAA